TGATCATTATTTATTATTTATTATTTTTACCATTATTTATCATTTATTATTTTTACCATTATTTATCATTTATTATTGTTACCATTATTTACCATTCTATTTTTCTTAAAATTATTTTTATCATCGAAGTAATTAAATGATCTTAATACTCGTAAACTATCATTTATTTCTTTATTTGAAAAAAAAAATTTATGCAATTAAATATGTAAAAAAAGTGGTGTAAAAATTTAAAGATTTTCCAATTCAAATATTTTTTAATGATTGAACTATATGATTAAAAAAAACAAATAATTAATAAAATATGCTTTTGCATTTAGTTATAGTCAAATAAGTGAGATTTTTACCGATTCCAAATTGGTTTTGGTTCGAGTAAATTTTTCCAGACATGGCGCATAACACACAGAAAGTAACGAATGCTTATGATTCTAATTTTCGTTATATATATATATGCATATATATATATATTCGTTTCACATTTTAAAAAATGACTTATATTTATCCTAACATTTATATACAGTTTCATAAAATTAAACTTCAGAAAAAGTGCACGAAAAATCAAGGTAAATGAAGCTATATATTGAAAAATATTAGAAAAGCAATATTTTCAATCATTCTCCCAAAAATGTAGTAAAGAGTTCTACCAACTCAAATTTTCTATCACCAATAATGAATCTTTTTATTTTTGATCTTCCAAGCACGTAAAACTACATATTTTGAGAGTTTTGAAGTGACAAAATGTTTCAAATTGCTCTTTTCTTAAGTCTGTTCAATAGTTTCTTCATAGTCTTTCAAAAGCTTTCATCGCACAAAAAAACACAATCAATCCTATTTTCGAACAAGCCCTTCTCCCAAAGAGAAATTGCAATGAAAGGATTCATTTTCAGGCACAAAAGAAACACTTAAAGAAAAGAAATGAGTAAAAGGAAGTGAAGAAAAGTGAAGAAATAGGCTTTTGTACGCACTTACGAGGAGCTTGATAGACGTTGGTTCTTGATACTGATGAAAGGGGAACCCGCTTGATTTGCGAATACTGTTCCTCGTATTCCGGCTGGAATAAAAAAGATATAAAATTGACTTAAATAGCAACACAATTATATTAATTTAGAAAAGGAATATTTCAAAGTGTGTATAATGTTTAAAATTTAATAACACTATTTTACATTAAAAGAAAAATCAGTGTAAATAATTCTGTTTTTCTTTTATTGATACGGTAAATAATATTTTTTTCGAAAAAAAAATGACGCTTGATTTATGTATATATATAAAGAGAGAGAGAACAAGAAAAAAGATGTTAAAAAAAATATTATGAAAAATGATTTTTTAAAAATTTTGAAATCACGATTATATCAGAAAAATAGTGCATTCTAATAATGTATTAAAACAGCCAAATGTAACACATATCAATACAATAGTGTGAGGAGCACCAAAACAATTGAAATAAAATGGAACTTATTAAGCAAAAAATGTTAAATTAAAATAAAAAAAAATAGCTATTGATTTGCCCGAATTGGATTTCCACATGGTAAAAATATAAATGCTGTTAACAAAGAAATTTTTTAATTATGACATACAATTAACTCAACGAATTTTTTCGTATATAATCTTGTGAGCTGATGGCGAGTTTATATCTTTTCCTTATTTTAATTCAATTTAAATTTCTTTTAAATTTTAATTTTTTTAAATTTGTAAAAAGGATTTTTATTTTTTAAAAAAGCACATTATAGTAATTTGTTATTCCCTTTTAAATAATTTTTTTTCTTGCTTTCTCTACATTTTAAACTTATTTTTTAAATTCTCTGTACTTCCCGTTGCAGCTTATACGCAATAAATAAAACTTATTATTGATTTTTTTTAAATTTTCTTCGCTAATCTTACTTCTATTTTATACTATATATATATATAATTTAATAAAGTATTTATTTTTTGAATTTATTTTCTGCTAAGAGTTAAAAATTACAAAATAAAATATTTTACTTAAATTACTAATGAAATATTCAAACAGGAAGAAACTCACTGTAAAACCAAGTATTTCCTTAAATAATATATTTAAAACAAATGAAGAATGATTTTAAGCAGAAAAGCAGATTTAATAAATCAAACTGAAAGCTCTAGCATTAATTTAAATTGAGTTAGTTCAAATTTCCATGCAATTTAAATTAGTTGTAATAAACTAACACGGATGAAAACTTTCTGAGATTAGGAAAGGGAAATAAAATAGATACTCATATATGAAATATTTAAAGTAAGTCATTATTTGGATATACTTATTGCCTCGAGAAAAGTTCAAATCATGGTAAAAAAAAATATTTTAATTTCTCTTAAAACGTATCTTGAATATTATTATCTGTACTCATTAGGGTAAATTTTAAATGCATTGTTAGATTCGTTCTAGAAACGTAATGTATTGATTTAAAAAAGAAGAAAGAAGTGCCAAGTAACTCCGGAAAATCATATATCATTTTCAAAATGTGAGAAATGAGGAACTTTATTGTTATATATGTCTTGTTAGAATAATTCCTTCCGGCATATTTCAGAATTCAAAGATATATGTGATTCAATAAGTAAGATAATGATTTAAAACGTGCGAAATTTTTTTAACATTCTTCAGGAACCGTAATTCTAAAAATCGGGTTCGTTGGAGTGAAGTAATTATATATTCCAAGAAAAACATTAAATTCATCAAATATTTCCTTTATTGTCTTTATTTTTATAACATTGTGTTTCCTTCTTTTATCCCAAAAAATGAACATTCAATTTAGAAATTTAGCTAACTTCACTGGAAAATGATTCAACTAAATGAAAATGGAAAAACACTTAGACTTCTCGATTAACTGAACTTTTTTTTTACATTATAATGCGTAATGGCTGACGTTAATATATTTTTTGAAAACCCTGGTAAACAATGAAATCAAATAATTTGTTTATTAAAGATCGCAACGTATGGAATTAAACAAAGAATGGAAAAGTAGAACTTTTTTAAAACTCTTACAAATCACGATTAAAAACATTAAGACTTAAACAACGGCTAAAACAATTTGAAATTCTTTTTTACGGTGAAGTTTAAAGGTATTTTAATGAATAATGAAATGAAACTGCCACAAAATATAATCAATTAGCTTAAAAAAGTAAAATATATATATATACTCCAATACAATACAAAGGAAAATCATGATTTTGAAGAATACGAATAATCGTAATTCATTGGTATGTCCTTAAAAGAAATACATTTAATATAAACGTCAGTGAATGGATGTTGTTCATGTTTTTGAGACTTATCGTAAGTAATAATTTTAAGATAATACTGGAAGATGCGTGCAATAAGCTACTGATGATTTAAATTGGTGAAACAGATGGTGGTGGTAATCAACCAATCTCCGCACTATATTACCAAATCACAGTTCCATAAATAAAAAGCTTTTTTCGAGTTTGAAAATTGTCGGGGTTGCTTAGCAATAATAAATTTACTTCTGCAGCACTATAGTAACAGTTAAAATCATGATTTTTCATGATCTAGATTCATCGATAGTTCCTTAAAATAAATAATTTGGTTTGAATGCTAATGGCACTGATGGGCTATTTTTCATAAACTGGGATCACTAATGATGTTAAGATAAAACTGACGGATGCGTGCTATAAACTACGGATGATTTAACTCAGCGAAACAGATAGTGGTAGCAATCAACCGAACTCCACAAGACATTACACAGCTAAATCATGCATAAATGCTTTCGAGTATTAAAATTTCCAGGGTTAAATTAGATTCATAACTATTAAAACTCAATCATATTAAGGGAGCATTTCACTCACTTACCCAACCTTTTCCACAGGAAATCAAACGTCAACTCTGAAAATAATAGTGAACCTGCTTTCCCCTTTGCCGGACATGCAATAAAAAACGTGTGCATTTATGCCAGGCTACTAACTTACAGTTGGCACCAGTATTTTAAGTTGAATTAGTTCTACTTTTTTGAAACTCTATCCCCATTAGCTAACTATCAGCGAGTATCTTTTTGCATGCACTAACCCTTCTAACTGGAAACGGTACATCATATGTATGGCTTCCCTGTGGATCACTAGGAGTTCTGGTACTCGACCTGAGGCTGTCACATTCGCTGCCATCTTCTACTGCATACCCGGGCACACGGGTTGTGGCATAAGGCGAGGGAAAGTACAAGGAGTCCTTAGGCACTTCGTAAGCAGTCTCACCATGCCCCTTTTTACCCAGAACGCTCATGCTCAGAGTGTCCCCTTTATGGATTGAACGGGATTGCCCATCTGAAATAAAAATTTAAAAATAAATAAAAATATTTAAAAAAAAGAAAAGAAAAAGCAAATTGCAATGAAACATACATTTTAAATAAAAAAAAATAAATTAAACTCTCAACTCTCAATGCAAAGCAAGAAACTGATTTAATATAAAAAACTCATATAAAAATTTAAAATAATAATATTTAAATAATAACGAAATAACTTAATCAGCAAATGAACGTACAAAAATGGACAAAAACCATTCATTTAAAGTCAAACTAATAAAACAAATATTAAAAGTAACTACTGTTTAGGGTCCCCATTAATTTAGGAAATAGTATTTATTTACAATACTGAAAATCGAAGTGAATTCAACACCGTTAGATATTTTTTAATATACACATATGGGGAATGTGAAGTTAGTATTCACAATTGCATAAAATTAAAATAAAATTAAAGCGAAACTTCATCTGCCTAATGGAGTTTTAAAAATTAATTTTATTTCTTTTACATTATAAGATATTATACTGTATGGAAATGTTCTAGTTAAAAATAAATCTTTTCCCTCTATTATTATGAGAATGTTATGAAAAGGCATCACATGTTAAAGATAATCAGATTAAAATTAAAATAAAGTATTATAATAAAATTTAAAATTAAATATATTTAAATTATTTAAAATTAAAAAATAACTAATTTATATTAAATATTAAGAGAACTATATTTAAAGTTTTTATATTTAAAATTAAATAAACAAAAATCTCATAAAGTGCGTATTGTTATAATTGTAAACTTTATACTCTTCTTGTTATAAAATAAAGTTTCAATGCAAACTCGAAAACGAAATTTATTTTTTTGCTTGATAATAGTTAAGAAACCATTTCAAAAATGTATTGTTTTTTTAATTTAAATTTAATGAGTCGATATTTCAGTAGAATTTTTTTTTCATTTTTAAAACAAAAACATAATAATGTAAGAAAGATTTTTCCCTTACGTAAGCATAACTTAAGCGTAATTATTGTTATTTGGAAATGAAAATATTTATGATGATGTTCTACATAATATTTATGATGATGTTCTTCATAATAAAAAAAAATAATCAAAATCTTATTACTTGTTATTATAATTAGTCCGGATATTATTTTTAATTCATAATTTTCAATATTAATTTCTAAAATTTATATTCTATCAATCTTATTACTTCAGGAAAGCATATTGTTGCAGAAATTTCAATAATTTTCTGTTAATGAAACTAAACGAAATCCATTTTTTTAATTAATAAATATTAGAAATAATTAAGCGTAAAAAGCATGCATCTTACGTGTAATAAATTCCATTTATTTATTCATCTACCATATTCTGGATTCAAAAAAAAAAGTTAAAGTTGGAAAATAAAAGAAATCTGGTTTTATATTTACATCAAAACAATTTACATAACGTTTGAATAAAGTTTAAATCATTAAATGTCAGAATATGTTCACAGGTATATTTTTAAGACAGAAAAGGACATTTTTATTTTAATCAAAAATAAGTCTGAGTAAAAATAAGTTCTGTCAGAAATATTAAACATTTTGAACATATTCGAGTTTCTTTCGCTTATTATTATGCAGATATGAAGTGAAATCGCGTTTACTTTTAAGCAATATTATAATAATTTTAAATTATTTTGCTATTATTTCATAAAAGTATAAAATTTAAAACTACTCAAATGTTGTCTCGAATTTCATACAAGCTTTGAATTGCGATCTATTTGTGAAGAAAATGTAACAATTAAAAAATAAGACCGCAGGCCAGCTTACAGTTTAGGTTTAGTGCAAATAGAGGAATGGAAGCGAAAGGATATGCATTATAAAATAATTTAATGCAGCTCTAAGATATTCTAAAGTTAAAATTTAACTATATTTACTACCAAGCTAAAATCACACATACGTATTTAACGATAGATTTTAGAGTTTGTTTTTTTAATATCACACGGAGAAAATAACTTCATAACAACTAACTTAATAACATTTCTGGTAAGAAAAACGCATTTCATAATGGCTAATGTGATAATGGTTTAGCGAATATTTAAGTTTTCAAAATTATAGTTCTAAATACCACACATTCAGTAAAAAATATAAAACTGAAGAGGAAATTTAACTGAATAAATAGTTTTTCTAACTTGCTCTAAAGTATTATGATATAATTAGCAAATTGTATCTTAAAAAATGTATATATANACTGAGAAAATAACTTCATACCAACTAACTTAATAACATTTCTGGTAAAAAAAAACGCATTTCATAATGGCTAATGTGAGAATGGTTTAGCGAATATTTAAGTTTTCAAAATTATATTTCTAAATACCACACATTCAGTAAAAAATATAAAACTGAAGAGGAAATTTAACTGAATGAATAGTTTTTCTAACAGTTCTAAAAGTATCATGATATAATTAGCAAATTTTATCTTAAAAAATGTATATATATAAAATAAAATATATTTGTATATATAATGTACATACACTATCCAGCCATTAATGACCGGACACTGTGAAGTTCGGTGGTGGAGGAATTATGGTGTGGTCCTGTTTCTCATGGTTTGGCCTTGGACCCTTGGTGTTAGTGCGTGGAACCCTGAACGCAGATGAGTGTAGAGACATCCCGGACAATTCGGCACTTCCCACCCTGTGACAACAGATCGGTAATGGCCCGTTTGTGTTTCAACACGATAACGCTGCCATTCATAAAGCACATGCCATCACGGACTGGTTTGATGAAATGGGGCTGCAAGAGCTTGACTGGCCATCCCTAAGTCCCGACATCAATCCAATTGAGCATCTCTGGGATGAGTTGGAGAGCCGGTTGAGGGCCAGGCCACAACGCCCCAAAGCCACTACTCAACTCTTCGCCATGTTACAGGAGGAATGGCGGGCAATACCTGCCGCCGTGTACCAACACCTAGTGGATAGCCTTCCTAGAAGGGTTAAAGCTGTGATTCGGGCGCGTGGCGGCCCTACGCCCTACTGACTTGATACTAGCACCTCACGTATCACGTATGATTGTATGAACGAAGGATAAAGTCTATAAATGGCTTTCTATCCATATGATGTGCAGGGTCTGACTTTTAAGTTAGTCACCCTATAAATGATAAGATGGAAATGAAGACTCTTTTTTTTTTATAAATATTATTCTATAAAATTATGTAAGGATGTATAAATGAAGGATAAAGTCTATAAACGACTTTCCATCCGTATGATGTGCAGGCTATGACTTTTAAATAAGTTACCCTATAAATGATAGGATGGAAATGAATGTTTTTTTCTCCATTTTTGGGTTTTAATAATTTAATCTCCGAATTTTTACTAATTCTTCTCATAGATGGCAGCACTAATATTTTAATTACTTAAAAGTTTTTCTACTTCGATCAAATATATTTTTTATTTATTTTATTCGATACAAGCTATAAGCACCACTTCAAATATTTACCTCTTCGCTAATTTCACTAACTGTTTACTTATTATACTTCTAAATCTAAAACCGCATTCTGCTACACGCCGGTNAATTTAAATATATGATGTATTTTAAGTAAGCCCTCATCATCAGTTTCTACAACTTATTTATACTCGATATACAATCATCAATATTTTGATTTATTTAAACACTTTAGAGCATTTAAAAAAAGCCTTAAAATAGATTTAAGTCTTGTTTAAAAGCTTAGGAGTTATTTTTTACAGATTTTAATTGTTTTTTTAAGATATGAAAAAATTAAATGCTTTCCAATGAAAGCTAATCTGTAATTAAATATAATCACGTTTTATATAATTTTTTTTATTCCGTAAGAAGCAAAAAAACTTGAGAGCAACATTTAAGAGGAAATAATCTTATTCAATTTCTCTATTTAATAGAAAGTAATAAAAGAAAACCCAATTAGGATATCTGAATAATGTATTAACAATTGTTTTCTACATTTTTTAAAGAGAAAAATTATGTAATTTATTTTCGAAGGAAAAAAGATGTACTTTCTTCCTAAAGAAGAAAAATAAACGATTTATTTCAATTGAAAGAATAAAGTCTTTTAGTTCGAAAAAGTATTTTTGAATCACAAATAAAAAGTTGGGAAAACAACCAAATGTAATTTATCTATTAATTTCTGATTTACTCAAGCATTCTTAAGTTAATCAATTCAAAATAATTAACCTTTTATAATGTCTTTTGAAAAAGGAGTTAGAATTTTTCTTTTTTAAGAAAGAAACGAAACTTCAGAATAAACGATATGCATTTTCTTAACCTAACGTTTTAATTAAAATTTTGATAAAAAAAAATTTTTAAGCACTTAAGCATTCTAAAAAAAGTACTAAAAACTTAAAAGCTAGTCAATAAAGTTTGAAGAGCATTGAAATTATTAATTTCATTCTCAGTAAGAATTCAATACTAAAATTCATGTTAAAAGGTTAAACTTCGTTATGGTATAGTATAATTTTTTGATACACATAATACGCTGCCTTTTTAAGTACAACATAAATCATACCGTTATTAAATCACATCATTTTGTTAAAACATTTTAATTAAATTTCATTATTCATACTAATTTTAATTTTTAATTCTGAATATCTTTCTAAACTACCACTATTATTAGCAAAATATCTGATGTTGGAAATACAAAGAATTCTGGTCACTTACAGAATTTTGTTTTAGTGTTACACGTGGTTTGTAAATACAGGGATAATCATAATTCCCTCCGGGGTTTCGAAGCGTTATAGTAAAAAAACGAAGACGAATTTGGCAAAAAAGAACATATGAAATTATTCCGAAAGTATTCAAGTTTTAATTTAAGCAGTTGCCGGTAGATGGCGGTAACATGTACCACTAAAGTCAATTGTAGTAAAGAAAAATGGCGCTTGCAGGCGAAGGAAATTATGAATAACTCTGTATATACAATCCTGATTTCTTGTGGAACTTTTTTGTTGAAGCACACTTAGTTTTAAAATATAAATTTTGTCTTGGTTTGTAACTAAATTTAATTTTAATTTAATTCTTTTTTTTCAA